AGAGGGAGAACAGTGTGGAACAAAACTCAAAATCATTTGGAGAAAAAAAAAAGCGGGGGGACTAGGTTTGCTGGTCCGATAGAGCCTGATGGAACCACTGAGAATATGGCCCCTAGCTGCCCTTCAGGTCTGGAATTGAACCCACACCTGTGATTTTCAGCCAAACAACATATAGGCATATGAGTTGAACATTTACCTCAAGTAGATACACTCCTTGGAGAGAAAAATCATGGGAGAAAGAAGGGCTGCATATGCACAGGGAGACAGCTCAGGGGGCAGGAGTGTATGGAGGGATGGACACTGGGAAGAGGTAACTATGGGGAGGAAGTGGGAGGTGAGCTGTTGCATTGTGGTAAACTGTGGTGAATGACATGAGACAAAGTATATGTGGACTGCTGTATGGAAAGTGAATTTGCTCTGTAAATCTTCACCCAAATCACAATAAAATAAGTAAATAAACAAACATACAAATAAATAAATAAAGAAAGAAAACTATGGAGCAAAGTTCTACTCTGACATACATGGGGTCACCATGATTTGTAATCAACTCAACAACAAATAGTAATTTTTTTTTTTTTTTTTCTCTCAGAAGTGTAAGTGAAGGCATAGAATCTTCCACCCTCTATAGTCTCAGATACTACTTTACACCTTCCTTTTTAGCCACCCTGGTCGGTTCTCTGGCCTCTCTTTGTGTCGGTGCTTTGTTCTTAACACAGACTCTCTGGATGTGTGCCTTGATCCAGCCTCCACATCCACACAAGGCTAGGCTTTCAGTATTTTCCCATGCCCCCTTCAGTGGAGACACTCCATTCCCAGGACTGAGTTCATCCCTCCTGAGTGCCACCTCCCCACAGGTGAGGACAAAAAGCTCCAAACCTTGAACTGGTCCTACCCAAAGGGAAGACACTGGCTTTTGGGGTAAAATCCAGATTCATGAATTAGGGCAGTAATAGTTACACAGTCTGTCTGGTGCCCTGGGCAGGAGCCCCTTAGTCAGGGTCAGGCAGAACTCCCAGGCAGGGCCCCAGGCTCAGGGCAGCCAGACTCCAAGGTAGCCTACCAAAAGGGACTTCAGAACATAGCAAAGCTGAAGGTCATGTAACAAAGCAGGCATAACGACTACAATTCAGAACAAACCACAACTCCTTAGCATGGTGTCCATGGTATAAGCCCTGTGAGCCCTCACTGCTGACCTTCTGGCCTCTACCCCATCTCTCCATTTCTCTCAGCCCCCATGCTGCATCCACATTGGCAGCCCCCATGTCCTTTTGTTTCTGAGACACTCAACACTTATGCACACCTGGCACATTCCAGCCTGGATTTCATGGCTAACTTTGTAACTTCAGTATGCTGTCCCAGGTGGACTTTAGCCATCCATCACAGACCTTCAGTGGTTACAACTGCCATGTTATTTATAACTCTTTGCTTAGAGGGAAGCAGTTGTTCTTATGTGGACTGATTATTTTTCTTATATAGCATGTGATAGCAGTGTGGGAGCTCAACCCCTGTTCTGACTCACGCTGAGTGGGCTGCTGTTGTTGTTGTTGTTATGTGCTGTCGAGTCAAACCCAACTCATAGCGACCCCTCCTTGGGTTTCCAAGGCAGTATCACTATGTAAGTAGGATTGCCCAACCTTCCTTCCGAGGAGTGGCCTGAGTGGGCAGCCAATCTGTTAGTAGGGAATGAAATGGCATGTGTGGAAATCAGCCACAGGGCCTCTGTCCCATATGTTCTTATTCATCTTAGACCTGCATAATTGCAGCTGACTTCTATCAGTCACTGCAATTATGCAGGTCTAAGATGCTTATGAGGAATTAATGAAGGTTAACATATAGTGACATCCAAAAGCAAAATAATTCCAACTCATAGCAACTGCTATTGGGTTTCCAAGGTGGTTAGTCTTTACTGAAGCAGATTGCCTCATCTTCCTTCCACTTAACAGGTGGTGGGTTTGGACCATCAACTTTCTGGTTAGCAGTCAGATGTCTTAGGCACTGTACCACCAGAGTTCCTTATAGTGACATCAGTCTCTTCATTTCTATGCATCTCTCCTTCTAGGGAAGGAGAATTTACAGTTGCGGTTCTTGCCTTTAATGATATCAGCTCCACCTTGCTAAAAAAGCAGATTTTTATCGTGCACACACCCTGCCAGCCTCCACCAGTAAAAAACATGGGGCCCGGGAAGGTCCAGGTAGGTATAACAATCTCATTTGACCTTACTTCTGAGTTGAAACCAGTGGCAGGGATGGTAAGAGCTTTGGGGAATGAAGCCATGATTTGTCATGTTTCTCCTGCTGCATTTTTATACAAAGACATGTTGGTGAAGGGGTTCTGTATGTGTGAGACATGTCCATCCTGACTATGGTGGAAGGGAAAAGCCTTACTTCTGGCATATGAATTTACTTTTTATTTACCTGTGTTACACTGGTATTCAGCTTGCTTTAAGGAGGGCTTTTTTTGTTTGTTTTTAAATCACGCAGCACACTGTAGCCTTCTCACAGGGGAAGGAAAACTTCAATATATATAACAACAAAACAAGAAATAATAGATTATTTGTTGAACGCCTACTGTAGTGGCAAGTGATATTCTGGTCCTTGGAAGCTCAAGTTTGGGATTGCAAACTATGGGTTTTGGGTTAGGAAAAATAGTATTTTAATTTAGTTCTTCAGTTTATTCGAGGCCTTTGATTTAGAGCAAAATTTCCTTTTCAGAAAAAAATTGATCAACTGACAAATTGGAATTAAAATCTGTGGTTTGGCTTCATTTCTTAAAATCTTTTCTGTGGCATTCTAGTCCCAAGAGGTCAGTTGCTAGACCCTTTTGAGCCTCAAGGGCACCTCCCTCAAGGTGTAGCAGCAGAGACAAGCAAGCCTATTCCAACACCTCCAGGCAGGGCTATGTCTTCCTGAGAGCTGTATTGCACAGGACTGGCCATCATGGGCTTCCTGTGAATATCACATTCCTTCACAGTAAGATCTGGTGGCATAATGCCTAAGGCAAATATTTTGACTGCTAACCAGAAGGCTGGAGGTTCAAACCCACTAGCCACTCCTCAGGAGGAAGACTGAGCAATCTACTTCCATAGAGATACTGCCTCGGAAACCCGAGGAGGGGTCGCTATAAGTTGAGGTTCACTCAGCAGCAGTGAGTACAGTAAGATCAGGCCCATGAGCATGGTTATGGAGGAGTGTGGGAAAAGAACAAAGAAGGAAAGGAGCTAAAACTAAGAGTAGTCACAGGGCAGAGCACAGGCAGAGGGAGCCGGTCTTGAATTGTTACAGCTGCCAAGTTGAAGCACATGTCACTGTGTTTCTATTGGTTAAAAATAGGCATATATCAGTAATTTCATAGGTTCAAAGTACTGATTAACTGTGTGACTTTGGCTTAATATTTTTACATATTTGACCCTCAGTTTCTTCACCTGTGAAACAGAGAAAACAGTATTTCTTGTTGTGAGAATTAAATGAGAAAACATAAGTTAAATATTAGGACATTGTTCAGTTGAGCACCAGCTTGTTACCATGTGAAGGGGAGATCCACTGTGATGTGGTAAGCAAAGTATTTGGGAATCAAGCTCATTAAAAATGATAACTTGTTTTTTCTGAGTATACAATAATATGTGTCCCTGTTAGAAAATGTGCAGGTAACGAAAGTATAACCAAAATGCAGAATCATCTAAAATTCTTCAGTCAGGAAACAGCCATTTTCAATCAGGAAATAGCCACTGATGCATTTATTTTTAGTTTGTATTTTTTCATATATGTTGTGTAGGTTTGTTTATAACAATATTGGGATAACTTTCTTTTAGTGTGACCACTTTCTCTTATTGTTAAATAAGTCTTCTGATCACATGATTTAAATGGAAGCATAATCTTAAATCATATGTACAAAATATATAATATTTACCAGTGTCCTCATTATTGAAAATTTAATGTTTCTAATTTTTTATCAATATAAATGACATGCCCTATACAAACCTCTCAACATGTCTATGATACTTCATGGGAATAATTCCTATACTAAACCAAAGGATATTGGTGCCTTTTCCAGAATCTTGATACATCTTGCCAATGTCCTTCTGGAGGGGCTGTGTCAACATCTGAGAAGAGTGCCTGGACCACCATACTCCTCCTCATTGAACTTTTCATAGTGTTTAATGTTTGTTATTATTAATGGGTTAAAACTGGCATCTTATCATTAAAATATGGGTATATCCCAAAGGGATTATAACCACAGATATAGAGATTAGGATTTACAATATATATTTTGAGAGGACATGATTCCATCCATAACAGAGACCTTGAAAAGAAAAATCTTCAAGTGTGATCCTTGCACCTATTTTCTACCCCAGTGTGGGATGGACTATGTCTAGTGAGTATTTCTTGCTTCTACCAACCTTAAGATGGTTTGACTTGCATCACATTTCAGTTGTGGGCGTTCATGGCTTGTTTTCAAGGTATAGAGAAGGGAAGAAAGATGGATGGAAATAGAGTGGTTGGCAGTGACAGGATTTGTAAATATATATGTACTGATATTTCCCCCTATGTCATTGTATTTTTATGCATCACTAAAAATTAAGAACATTTTCTTTATAAACACAATGCTATAGAATACCCATATCACTGCTTTTTCTTAATTTAAAACTAGTCCATAATCAGATTTTTCTGTCTCCATAATATCTTCATGCAATTGTTGGTTTGATTTAGAATGCACAAAATTTCTCTTGTTAAAACAAACTAAAAACCTTTCTTAAATCCACTGTACTAGAAAGTTAGCTTAAATATATATAATTTGTACATAAAAGGAAGAATATATGCTTAATTCCTTCCCTTAATTACCAGTGTTCAGAGAGGAAGTTGGTGCACTAACTACTTCCGATGACAGCAAATGAGTTATGTGTGTGTATTTATGGTTTGTGGGGACAGGGAAAGTCTCTCTTGCTTTTAGCATCATTGATTTTTTTTTTAAATATTAAAATTATTCAATTAATTGTAGACATTACCTTTCTGATGCTCATTTGGTCCTATTTGGGGCCTATGGGGCAGTGTTTAGTCTGGCTGTGGTAGCCTTCTACCAAGACTCCATTAGTCTTTGAAAGCTTCTTTCCTCATGGGCATGACAGCTACCCCACCTCTGGAACTGGCCATGTCTCCAAGAAGCCCTGTACCTTTTAATTGGTATTTAAGACTGGAATCTGGCACCAAGATAGTCATTGGTCCTGGGTTGTCTTTACTTACTGTGAATTCAAAATAAATCAAGTAAGTCATTATTTCTTGTAGAGTTTTCACACTCAGAAAGCATTATTTATGTAAAATTTACATGCTTTTTTATTGTACTTGTATTCTTTCATCCTAAAATCTTGGTTCCTTAAAACATCAATAAGATTAGCATTTTTTCTAATAAATATGCAAAATACTTACAATGAAAATATTACCACCAGAAAGAAAACTGTTGAATAAACTTTGATTTTTTTTTGCAATTAGTTGTAAATTAGTTGTGTCAATTAGTTCTTTTTACCCTTAGAATAATTCCCATTAAGTATTTTCCAAATATTCAAAATACTCTACATTAAAGTTAATTGAAATATTTCTTTTTTGCTGGGGTACTTATTTGAAAAAATGGTTATATTTCTTTCCAATTTTTAGGGACTGATTTTTTTAAAATTTAAGAATACATAAAATATTTACATGATTTCATAGTCAAAAGTACATAATCAGAAGTCTATTTATATTTTATTTTGTGAGTTCTAAGGTTGGGCAATCTACTTCTGTAGTGATACTGCCTGGGAAACCCAAGCAGGGGTTGCTATCAGTCAGATCAACTCGACCGCAGTGAGTTTGGTTTGGTTTGGTGTGTGTATATATTTGTTCATTTTTCCAATAGGGTAATTTCTAGGTAATTCTAAAGAATATTAACTGTCATGTATTGCACATGGTTGTCTTTTTTCTCTATTGTTTCCTTTTTTAAATTATTTTTGATATTCAGAAGACTTAAATTTTTATGCAGTCAAATTTCTGTGACCATTTTTTTTTTGGGGGGGTGAAGATTTACAGAGCAAATTCACGTTCCATACAGCAGTTCACATATACTTTGTCTCATGTCATTCACCACAGTTTACCACAATGCAACAGCTCCCCTCCCACTTCCTCCCCATAGTTAC